GTGGGATACATGGCTGATGACTGACGAATTGGCTGGGACATGGCAACCCTTTTGTTTGACTCGTAGTTGCACTTGTGTGGCCCTTAGCCAGCTGCGAGACGCCATTGTGCCATGTTTCCACCCTATGCGGTCTGGCAACTGAAATCAAGTCACTTTTTATGTGTTATGAGTCATGGTCAAGATTGATTGATTTAATGAGAAAATTACCGAAAATCGCGTGTTTTCGCGATATATATGTCCTTCCGTTATGGGATTCGTTCATAGTATTCCATGCAGTTACTGCAACAGTGTCTAAACCGAACTAACTTTTCAGCCTAAAGTAAAAGCGCAAACACCTCCACCACAAAATGTTGAAATACGAAGATCGTCCTTAAGAAAGTACGTTTTAGCTGTTTCGATTATGTAAGACAAGCAGAGTTCTACCCATTACCAAAACTTTAAAATCTTTCTACCTAGCGAAAATCTAGGCTTTCTCAAAGTAGTGGAAATAAAGGTTCTGCGAGGTTGCCATGATGGAATGGCATGTGAGAGGTGTTTGGACGAGATTTCACTGGCTCCAACTGCGCAAAGAACTTACCACANCACATCGAGCCGAAGTTGTCCGAGCCACTTACACAGTCGCCATGGGTTATAACAGGTTGTTTGAACTTCCTAGAGGGAGTCCTTTGAGATGATGCAACCTCTACAACAACTGAAACAGCTGAAACTCTACACTACGGGTGTGACATTCACACGATACTACCTCTGGCTCCTTATTGTGCTCTACGTGTGTCGATCGCCTGTGAGGACGTCTGTCGACCTTATAACGTATGATATGAGGTGGGGCCTCAACATCATACTACGGGGAAATCTCTTAGAAACCATTGTTATCGTGAACTGTGCCTTTAAAGACATGGTCCTCGTAAAAAGTGGTTTTTGGGATTACTCCCTAGGATGAACCTGTAACTCCCGTGCATGGCCTAACGGACGCTGTCGGGTCGAAAAACGGCCTAAACAGGGCCAGTAAGGGCTCCGAATCGGCTCAGTCGACGTGCGCATCCAACGAGTTATTAAGCGTTGTAAAAGCTGCAACGGTTGCACCATTCGCACCGAGACCCACACCTTGCACGCAGGCAACGCTTTCTTCACGGAATAGATAAATATTCTCAGATGTTTTTGCGCAATTTGAATCAGCCGTTGCAGACGGATGAAGGATTCAAAAGAAAAACACGAATCGACGACTGCGATAGCAAAAGGTAAAGGAGGTAAGAAAGGAACTAGTTCAAAGTCTAGGAAGTAAGTTTCAAAACTGAAGCAAGATTAACTTTCGAAATTCAGGCGCCAGAACTACTAATGGAAAGGATGCGACAGCAAAAAGCGGAACTACCGGTGGAACCTCTTCCAATACCACAGGTACCGCTACACTCACACCTGGATCTGGCGGCCTGACTGCCGACAGTAAGGTCACGACACCTATGGGTCAGGAGGTACATGAATGTTGAACCTTCAGATTGAAGGAACACTTTGAAATAATAGAAAATTCAGGGAAATGCTACTCAGCAAAGCAGTACTGATCTAAAAAACTCGAGGTAAGTTATGGTGATTCCAAGTAAGCAATTAAAAGAGATCATAGGTGTGACATGGGAGATGGGACTTCAACTGGAAATCCACAACTTCTGTTTCTTTAGGGCTATAGTGTTCAAGGGGTACACAGGGCGGAGAAGAAACTGAATGTGAAATGTCTGGTGTTTTACAAAGTCCAATCTGTTACAGAAATAATATGAATGATCAAAATGGAAAACAGGAACCTGGCGGTACACCAAGCGCCGGTAAACTCACATCAGATTCTACCAGACCGCCAACCGATAGTGCGGTCAAAACACCACAGAAAAAGGTATTGGTATGAAGAGCTTTGAGAGTAGTAGATTAATTGAAATGTATGACTATTAAGGGAAAGCGTGCTAAGGCCAAACGCACTCCTGCTGCGAAGGAATCTAGGTGAGTAAAATAACTTTTGAAAATACAGTTGCAGCTTGAAATTGGTGAAGATTATGTCCAAATAATAAGCGAATCTTGCGTTCACATCATTCTGCTGAAGGCACTGCCACTACCACTTTGCGAGCTATCAGTGCTGCTCGATATCAGTTGGTGCTAAGTCTTCAAAAGGGGTGTTCAAAGCCGAGCAAATGCTTTTCACAGTCTCGGAAAGGGATTCCGTGATAGCTTTGAAAGCAGCCCCAAAAAGTTTGGCAGGCTGGCATAAGCATGTTGTGCTCCACTCTGTACATTGACTATAACGTCCTTGTGGAATGACGAGATCCTGGTCGAAAGTTGAAGTAGAGCTCATTAAGCATCCTTACATATTGACCAGGAACACTCTATGTAGTCTCCCAAGGCACGGAAGGTATGAAAGATATCCGACGGTATGAAAGGTCACTTCAAGTCGCTTCAAACATAAAAGCATCTTGCTCATCCGAGATTCTGCTGCTTCCATTGAGGAGGAATCGTGGAAAGAGCTTGTAAACTATCATAGACCAAGGACATTGGGCGATAATTGTCAATAGCATTTGACAATAAGTCTCCCTTCTTGTGTAACAATGCAGTCACACTGTTCTTCCACGTCGTATTCATACTAGGGGTAGATTGCACTCCAAGGGCACTGCGTGAGGCCGAGAAAGAATCTCCACATGGGCGTGTTGCTATAAAGCTTTGGCTGCTTTTATAGTCCGCGAGCGAGCGCGCGAGCCGGCCGGGGGACTACGTGTCTGGCGGTATCGACCAAGATTCAGTTATAAACAAGGGGCAAGCGCCTCCCCCGGTCGCTCGCTCGCGCGCTCGCGGGCCGGACGGCGGACTGCCTTCGAGTTATGATGGTACAAATTGGAACTAATGGAGAGGGCATAGATGGGTATTCTATCTGAGAATCAATTAGCTAGAAAAGGGAAATTTCCGGGAGAACCTGACCATTTACTGCGGAATGAGCCATTCTATCATTTATCTAATATATTTAATTTTGATTTTGCAGACGGTCACCGTCAAAGAGTAAAGAAAAGAAGGCTAAAAAGGTAAGTGTAAGGACATAAACAGTAGAAAGTAAACAGTATAGTTTTGAGACAGTAAACATGAAGTATTTTTGATTTTCAGGCTAAAACTTCCAAAGGTAGCAAGTTAAAAAAGATAACCACTTTATTCAAAAAACATCGCCAACGTGGAAAAAGTAAGGACGAGCCCGGTACGGTGGGCTCGAAAACAAAAGTCGGTCCAGAAGCGCAACAAAAAGATGTTGACAAATCAAAACAGCCTCCGCCTGGTGAGGAGGTACAGGAGAGGAAAGAAGAAGGTAAACCAGGGCAACCATCCCCTAGTGTGGGACTGCAAGAGAAGAAAGAAGAAGGTAAACCAGAGGGGTCATTGCCTGTTGAGGAAACACAAGAGAAGAAAGAAGAAGGTGAACCGGAGCAGCCATTACCTATTGAGGGTCCTCAAGAGAAGAAAGAGGACGGTAAATTACAGCAGCCATCGCCTAGTGAGCCATCACAAGAGAAGAAGGAAGAAGGTAAACCAGAGCAGCCATCTCCCAGTGTGGGATTGCAAGAGAAGAAAGAAGATGGTCAAACAGTGGGGCCATCGCCTGCTGAGCGACCGCAAGAGAAGAAAGAGGACGGTAAATCTCAGCAGCCATCTCCTAGTGAGCTACCACAGGAGAAGAAGGAAGAAGGTAAACCAGAGCAGCCAATGCCTGGTGAGGAGATTAAACTGCAGCAGCCATCACCTAGTGAGGGGTCCCAAGAAAAGAAAGACGCTGTCAAGTCAGAGCAGCCATTGCCTAGTGATCAACTGCAAGAAAAGAAAGAAGGTAGACCAGAACAGCCATCCCCTGGTGAGCTACCACAGGAGAAGAAGGAAGAAGGTAAACCAGAGCAGCCATTGCCTGGTGAGGAGATTAAACTACAGCAGGCATCACCTGGTCAGGGACCACAAGAGAAGCAAGACGCTGGCAGATCGGAGCAGCCATTGCCTAGTGACCAAGTGCAAGAAAAGAAGTACGACGACAACCTAATACAACAGCCGCCTGGTGAGGAGCCTAGGCAAGTACCTGATCAAGCCGTTCAGCAACCACAGGGTGAGCAACAATTTACGAGTGGACAAGCAGCCGTAGCTGCGGAGGCAGTTCCGCCTTATCAGCAGCAGCAGCAGATCAGCCAAGGACCTGTTCCGGCGATTGAGAGCACAGCCGCCACCACTGTAGAATATCAAGAAGCATCAGAAGAACCACCTTTAGCGTTAGCGTTTCGAGCACTGGAAGAACCAGGAACCGTGGGCGAGTCAGAGTACCAGAACAAGACGACGTACACAGCCAAAAGGTGAGTACTTTTCGATGGGTAATCAGAGAGTTATACCAAAATTTCCGGTAATTTCAGTGACGTGCGATTGTGTTGCTTGCTACAGTTTTCATTTCTTAGGCCTTATCGGAATGCGGTTCTTTGTCATCCTTTACCCCCATGCCTTCGTTGGAGAGGTTGCCCCAGTTGTGTGAACACTGGGCCCAGCACGTATCGTTTTTGAGAGTTTGAGAGCTCCTTAACTGAATACGTGACCTTGAGACCTTATTAATAGCAACGTCAAATGAAGACAAGTAAATTCAGATTTGGCTGAAACCTTAGTGCTCGGGGACTTCGGTTCCTCCAAGCACAAAGGTGTTTACGCATAGGGAGAAGATAAACAAAAAATTCGCTCTCAAGAAGATTAGCTCTTCAATAAGGATTTACCTCGAGCGAGTCACAAACCCA